CCCCCCCCCATGTTAATAGAAGATATTTTATTTATTTATTTATTTGGTTTGGGGATTCAGGACTTACTCCTGGCTCTGCAGGCAGAGATCACTCCCGGTGGGGTTCGGGAGAACATATGGGGGGGCCAGAGATTGAACCTGAGTCAAGCGCCCTGCTTGCTCTCCTAGCGCTGCCCAGCATGTTACATTGTTTACACAGCAGAATTGGCTGGGAGGTCTGGGTTACCTGGGAACTCAGGTCCTCAGGAGACAGCAGTGGCCCCGTGTGAGGACTCTGGACTCTGGAACCTGCTTTCCTGGGTTCAGATCCCAGCTTCTCACTGGACTACTGGTATGATACGATGAGACAAATTGCTAAAATTCTATTTCTCCTTTTTCTCAAGATAAATGACTAAATACTATGTCTCCTTTAACTCACGTGTAAGTTGAGGCTGGGTAATAATAATAACTAGCTCATAAGATTGTCCAAGATTTAAAAAAAAATCACTCCTGACTTGTTTACTTTTGGGGCATTTCTGAATTTTTGGGAAGGCTCAATGAATGTTAGCTTGTATGATGATGATCATAGAATTGTTTTATCAAGCGTTCTTTCCTGGGACTCAAGCTAACGGGGCGCTCTGAGATCTCACAGTGAAAACAAGGGTAGGGACACATGTTCAAAGGCCTTTTCAGATAGAGAAGATCATGCAAGGAAACCCCGGGCTGTCCCAGAAATCCTTATCTATTTTTGTCAAAAACTGCAACTTTAAAACAAAACTACCTGTAATGAAACCAGGCCCTGAACAATGTTTCATTCATTCAAAGTTGATTTTTTTAAAGCATCAGTGTTATTAAAAACAACCATACTGAATGAGATGTTGTATTTCAGCCCAGTCTCATTCATGCTGTGTCAGATGCCCCATGGGGTGAGTGGGACACCGAGAAAGGGGTGCTTTGGGTCTGCCCCCGAGATGAGTCACCAAAGCATGTGGGTCAAGAACCTTTGACTGTTTGGGATCACTGTTGCAGCCAGGTAGGAAGAGGAAGGATTAGAAGGAAGTGGGCGACCTGAGAGACTGTCCCAAAGCTGTGGATGAGGCATTGGCAAGGGGCCTTGAGGAGACGGGAGTCGCCGCAGGGTGATGGTCTCCAGCTGAGGGGAGTGCTTGGGCAGAAAAGGACTCTCTCTTCATCCTTGGGGGTGGGCTTGGATTTGGAAGGTATGATCATCTTCATCCACAGCCCTTTGCCCTGCAACCCAAGAGCACTGTTCCTTTTGATCAAAATTCAGTCCAGTAACTCTTGAGTTCAGAGTTAGAAATACATTTTCTCAGAGTCATTTCCACATGGGAAGAATTGAGAATATATATAAAGGCCTGAGGAGCCAAAGCCCACAGAATCAAAAAAAAAAAAGACCCCAAATGTCTTAGACAGTGACAACAAAAACAAAAAAGGTAGATGCTGGCATACTGGGACTCTGTGCCACCGTGTGCCATGAGCCAAGGGTGCCACAAGCCACTTTACCTTCTCCTGCAGCACGTCCCGGTTTGAGCCTGAGCGGGAATTGGAAGAGGCACGTCTGTCTCCCGTTTCCCCATTGCAGACCGGCCAGGCAATCCCTCTTCGAGTTTTTCCCTCATCCGGGACAGCTACTTAGGCTCCAGTTCGGGTATTTACAAATGACAGCAGATTCACATATCGCAGAGTTGCAAGCTAGAGACTCCAAAGACAAAACTTAAAAAAACAAAACACACCAAAAACAAAACAAAACCAAAAAAAATTTCAAGACCCAAATGGTTGTATAACCCCTCATTCTGTCTGTGGTTTTCAGTGGGTATAAAAATACTCCGTGGGTGTGTGGGAGGTTCCTTGTGCTTTGGAAATGGCGAGGAGAGGATGGGAGGGAGACAGAGCCGATTCCAGTGACTTTGACCGCGTTGACTCACGCGTGGATATCTGCATTGGAGGCCTGGAGATGCGGAATCCAGAGTGCTGGGCCCCTCTCCCCACCTCCCCTCGCTCCCGCCGACCGGGCTGGAAGGGAAAGAAGACTGCACGGGCCAGGGCAGAGGGTGTGCAGACCAGGTTCTTCCTCGCTTTGTCTTTCACGCCAGGGATGCCACAGAACTGGCGGCTGGTTGGTGGCTTCTCCTCGCCTGACACAAAGCCGCCAGTGCACAGCTGGGATGGAAAATTCTAAATATAACCCAGACTCATTGCAAATCACCTCCCCCCCCCTTGTCTTGGCGGATGTGGTAAACACCCTAAAAAGACTAAAAATACCTGTCGTTAGAACCTTTGAGGTATCTGAAGGAAGGGGAGAAGGGCCAGGCACCAGAATCTCAGGCCTGGCTCACTCCCCTCTCTGGCACACCCAGGGCTGGGCAGGGAGTGCGGCCATGCCAGGCTGGCCAAGGCCAAGTGCTCCCTCTGAGCTTCATGTTCGGTGTTGGCAGGTTTCTAGGGGACTATTCATAGACGCAGCATCTGTTGTCTGTCCCCTTGACCTCGAACCTGCAGCTGCCACCGCCAAGTGCAGGAAGTGATGTTTAGTCTTATTTTACAGAATCAGGAGTGTAGAGCTGGCAAGGGCCCTAGACATCCCATTGTTCACAGAACATTCCTTTAAAGGTGTTGGCGTGTAGAGAATCACGTTTCTCTGTCCATCTAGGATGGAAACTCAGACCTGAGTTATTAACAGAAATCACTCTCATTATGCAACACTAATGAGAGAGAGAAAACCAGCTTTTGAGAAATTCTAAGAGATACTGGGCAAAGTGTTGGTTTTTGTTGTTTTTTTTTTTTTTTAATTTTTATTAGTTAAACACCATGAAGTACAGTTGTAGACTTACACATTTTTGTGTTTGGGTTTCAGTTATACAATGATTGAGCACCCATCCCTCCACCAGTGCCCATTCTCCACCACCACTGATCCCAGTATCCCTCCCACCCTCCATCCCCCCTTCCCACTCTGTCTCTGTTGCAGGGCATTCCGTTTTGTTCTCTCTCTCCTTTTGGGTGCTGTGATTTGCAAAGGAGGCATTGAGTGGCAATCATGTTCGGTCTTTAGTCTGTCAGCATGCATCTCCCATCCTGGGAGGATCCTCTCAACACCCTTTATTTGGTGCTCCCTTCTCTATCTGAGCTCCCTTTCCCCCTAGCATGTGCATCTGGCCTCCAAGCCAGTAAACCTCCTGGTACTTATCTCGGCTATTCTTGGGTGTTAGTCTCCTATTTTGTTACCTTATGTTCCCCAGATGAATGCAAACTTTCTATGTCTGTTCCTCTCTTTCTGACTCATTTCACTTAGCATGGTACTTTTCATGTAGTACCTACCACTTGTATATAAATTTCATGACTTTATCTTTTCTAACAGCTACATAGTACTCCATTATGTAGATGTACCAAAGTTTCTTTAACTTTTTTTTTTAAAATAAATGCTGAGAACTTTGGGACTCATGTCTTACCCAAATAACAGGATTTTACATACAAACTTTCTTGGCAATACAGCTAGACAACATGGAGGCTTGTCTTCATGAAGGCTTTTTATATCTAGTTTCTGAAGTTTCAAGTGATAGCTAAAGTATTGTCATTGAAGGTCAGAGATGAGCTCTCTTTCTGGGAATAAAGACTTTACAGTTTTTCCCTGAGATGCATTCAGAGTATTGGAGGCAGGTAGTGCCATCTGAGAAAACAGAATATATCTCGACTGGAGAGATAGTATAGTGGATAAGGCATTTGCCTTGAATACAGTCAACCCAGGTTTGAACCATGGCACCTCATAGGGTCCCCCAAGCACCATCAGGATTGAGTGCAGAGCCAGGAGTAAGCCTTGAGCATAACTGGGTGTGGCCCCAAAGGAAGGAAGGGAGGGAGAGAAGGAGGGAGGGAGGGAGCGAGCGAGAGGAAAGAAGGAAGGAGGAAGGGAGGGAGGGAGGAAAGGAGGGAAGGAAGGAGGGAAAGAAAGAAATTTAAGTCACCTAGCTTTTAAGTGGACATGATAACTCCCTTGCCCCAGTCTCCAGCAAATACATCTCACTCTGGTAGACCCGAGGGGAGCAGAACCTGTATTAGTAGTTGTGCAGAGAAGCCCCTGGAAGAGTCAGGCTAATAGAGGGGAAGGGGTAACATGTGCCAGGTGCCTTAGGGTGGGTACAGATCTTCCCATAATAGTAATAAGTGTATCCTACAGTTCTCAAATTCCTTTATGAATCCACTGTATCACTGTCACTGTCATCCTGTTGTTCATAGATTTCCTCAAGCAGCACCAGTAACGTCTCCTTTGTCCTAGCCCTGAGATTTTAGAAAGTGCCACATTCGAGGCTCTTTCAGGGTCAGGGGAATGAGATCCATCATTGTTACTGGGTCTTGGCAGATCGAATATGCCACAGGGAGTTTGCCAGACTCTGCCATGTGGGCAGGATACTCTCAGTAGTCTGCCAGGTTCTCCAAGAGTAAGAGCTAGATAATAAGATGTTGTGTGGCTGCAAATGCGGCCGTGTGCTTCTGGGAGCTGGGTTTTATAGTCTCTGGGTTTTGGCTGTTGATGGTATAATGGTGCTGGGGGCAGTTGGTGGGTATAACGCCTACCTACTAGAAGAATCCAAAGAGTATTTTAAAGTTCTGGATTGATTGCGAGGTAGCTCCAAGCAGCTGAAGCTCGTGGGAGCTCGGTGTCCCCTGATACAGCTCCTCCACCCGAACAGAAAAAGCAAATTCACATCGATTGAAAATTCTTTTCAGTGCTGGAAACTATCAAAATGGTTGAAGTGTGTTGTTGCTTGTCCGTTTGTCTTCCATGTCACTTAACGAATCTCCAGAAATCATCTCAGGGAATGGGAGTGTGTGGGGACACTGACTTCAAGAGGTGTCTCGAGGCTTGGGGGCTGTTAGTACCGGCAGGCTGGGTGAGGGTCTGGGACAAAACCCCCTTGCCCGTGCTTGTTGACAAGGGGGGTGGGAGGGGGCATCTGGAATGGGTGAAGTCCAGGAACGCTCAAACGTTTCCGTTGACATTCCAGAATGAAGAACTCCGAAACCTGTCCCTCTCCGGCCATGTTGGATTCGACAGTCTCCCTGACCAGCTGGTCAACAAGTCCACTTCCCAAGGCTTCTGCTTCAACATCCTCTGTGTCGGTAAGTGACTCCACACCCGCTGCCGAGTAATGGTGCCTCAGGTGGCTGTCCGAGGGATGCAGTTTGGGGAACCATGGAAGTGATATTTTTACTCTATTTTTTTAAATAAACCAGGACAGTAATTATCACTTTTTTTAAAAATCACACAATTACAGAGACTGAAACTGTGTTGGGTAAATGCCCCACTTTGGGGTATTGCCCAAGTTGTTGATATTTTTGCCGTACCGTCAAGTGGTTGGTTTAATATTGTGATTAAAATAGATTTTAGGGGCCAGAGAGATAGTACGGTAGAGTGTTTGCCTTGCATGCGGCAAACCCGGGTTCAATTCCTTGGCACCACATACGCTCCTCCAGGTCCTGCCACAAATGATCTCTGAGTGCACAATCAGAAGGAAAGTAAGCTCTGAGCACCACCAAGTTTGACCCCAAAACCGAAATAAATAAGATGAAAAGATTTAGAGGTGGGGTGGGGAGGAGGGTGGAGGGAGGATGTAGACCCTAGCTGGACTATAAGAAGTATAAAGAAGAAGCAAATGTATATGCAGCCTAATGTTATTCAGAGCAGTGGAAGATGGTTGTTTTGACGGTCACTTACTTCTGTGTCCTAGTAGTCTCCAGTGATGTCTTTTTTCAAAGACATGCTACTTATAATATGTGAAATCTCACTCTACTGCCTTCAGCAAACCTATGGTGTTGACAGTGTTTGCTTCTAGAGCAAAAGACAATTTAAGATCCTGTTTCATAAGTGAAGTAAATTTTCTGCCTGAATTATTAAATTCACCTTTAGTCCTTACATTTGACTCTCAAATTGATCTCAGTTTATTCTTGGTAGATAAATGGAAAAGGTCAAAAGATCTGACTTATTTGCAGCTTCGTATATTTTATTCATGTCGGTTTGACATGAGATGTAGCCTCTGCCCGTGGTCCTTTTTCTTCTCTAAGTTTGTCCTTATAAAACCCCAAGGCGGAAGGGTACTCTCCTTGCACACAGCTGACCCTGGCTCCATCCCTGGCACCACCTAGGGTCCCCCAAGCACCGCCAGGAGTGATCCCTGAGTGCAGAGTCAGTAAGCCCTGAGCATCTCCAGTAGGACCCAGAAAAAAACAAAACTGAACTGATAAATAAACCTGAGAGGAGGAAGGGTGGAAAAGATGGTGGAGAAACAGGGGAAATCTTACTGGTTTGAAGCAGAAATTCCCCAGAATAGACTCTTTCCTCCCCGTCCCCTCCCCCACCCGTGATGGACAGCCGGCTTTACCTTTTTATTCTCATGCTTCAGGGCCGGCACTGACGCGGGCCAGGAGCACATCTACTTCCTGTCTGGTGGACAGATGCACCCTCCTTACCTCCGACTCAGCGGGCTTCACCCCTCATTTTTTTGGTCCTAGTTTGCAAGGTTGTGTGGTCTGAAGCAGCACTGTCCACTAACTGTCATGGGGGGGGGGGGGCCTGGTCACGCAGGGCCTCTGCCCTGGACATCTGCTGCTCGTCGCCTTTAGAGCTGAGCTCCCAGGCCTTCCCCTCACCCAACGTGGAACCTTTGACAGTTCAGCACAGGCTGCCTGGAGGGCGGCGAGTTCCCCGAGTGGCATCAGTGAGCTGTCTTCATTGACAGTTCATTGATTCTTCTATTGGTGAGTGTGCAGAGTTGTAGGCTGGTTGCCACTCCGTCCTCTCTCCCCAGCCTCGCCTACAGACACCATCGCGAGGATGGGCGTGAGAATATATCTCGGCCCCTGCGAGAGAGGAGCTTCGTGCCAGGACTGCCCAGGACCCCTCAAGCGCGTGCAAGGGAGGACAGGCTAGTGCTGCCCCTCAGGTGGTTACACCTGGCCACATGCCCTGTACCCCGCACAGCACTTCTGAGCCGCTGCTGCGAGGGGCTGATGACACCATGGCTTTTTACCCACATTTCACCTTTGGTTTATTTTGAATTTCCTTTCTTTCTTTCTTTCTTCCTTTCTTTCTTTCTTTCTTTCTTTCTTTCTTTCTTTCTTTCTTTCTATTTATTTTCTTTTTGGTTCCTATCCAGCCATGCTCAGGGGTTACTCCTGGCACTGGACTCTGGAATCTCTCCTGGCGGTGCTTGGGGGACCATACGGGATGCCGAGAGGATTGAACCCGGGTCGGCCGCATGCAAGGCAAATGCCCTACCCGCTGTACCATATCTCCAGCCCCTTCTTACCCACATTTCAGCCTGAAACGCGTTTTTAGAAAGTTTCCCAAGCGGTTAAAGTAAGACCATATGTTGTTTTTTAGTTGTCCGAAATTCGGGAGGGGCTCAATGGAATCCCTCTGGAAACTTTTTTCTTTTCTGTGGGTTTTGGTACTTGGGAATGACTTTTGTTGATGTCAACCCCCCAATTTCCTGGTCTTCTGTAGTCCCACATGTCTCACCAACTGAAATCAGAGCACCCGCAGGGCTGCTTTTCTTCCCAGAACCTCTGGGGCAGGGGGTGGGGTGGGGGAGAGTGTGTGTCCTTCCCTTTCCCGCCCCCCAGGAGCTGCCTGCATTCTTGGGTGACCTCTTTCCTCCACCTTCTCTCAGCAATGCGTGCTCTGTCTCTGTCGCTGTCTCTGTCTCTCTCCCCCTGCCTTCCTCTGTCTCTGTCTCTGTTGCTGTCTCTCTCTCCCTCTCTCCCTTTTCTCCCTCTCCTCCTCCCTCTCCCCTCCTCTCTCTCAGCCTTCCCTTCCTGTACTCCTACAAGTAGGGTGAAGCTGGAAGGGCCTGGGTTGACCTGTACGTAGTGTGCATTGGCGTGTGTGTTGTCTCATTGCCATACTTAGGGGGTCATCCAGTGAGCTGCCCTCCCTCCTCTAGTCCCACTCCCCCTCTCTTTTTCCACAAAGATGAGCAGAAACCCATTTTATTTCATTTTTTTAACTAAAAAAAAAACTAGTGTTTTTTAATTACTGTATTTTATTTTGTAATTAAGTCCATATATTATAGAAAACATAACAGGAAAAATGAACAAATTTATAAACTGATGTCTAGATGAAAAAAAAAACACGAGCTTGCCTTTGTGTTTATAAACTTTGTGGATATGTTGGTGGTCTTGCACTTTGGGTATCAAAGATATCTAGACTGAAAGAAGTTGATATGCAGCAAGTTTAAGCCATAGTTAGATGACAGGCCGTGAAATAGTAGAGTTTCTGAATCTTACTCTTAAGAGGTAAGTTCCATTCGAGTGTCCCTCTTGCTGTCTAATAACAAAAGCTTGTATTTTGCTATCTCAGCATTTGTTGTAACTTTTTTAGTTTTTGGTTTTGGAGCCCCACCAGCGGTGCTCAGGGGTTACTCCTGGCTCTGCACTCAGGAATTACTCTTATAGTGAGACATCGGATGCCGGGGATGAAGCCAGGAAATCACCCTACCCATTGTGCTATTACCCTGGACTATTTTTTTTTATTGGCTTCTTTTGTTTTCCGGGCCACTCCCTGCCATGCTGAGGGCATACTCCTGGTTCTGCACTCAGGGATCACTCCTGCCAGGCCGGGCCATATGCAATGCTGTGGATCAAATCTGGGTTGACCGCAAGGAAAGTGCCCTGCCTGCTATGCTATATTGCTCTGGGTCAAGACCAGAGAGAGGGATATTTTAGATGGCATCAAAACATTTTAACAGCCACTCAGAAGAGTAGATGTCGTATTTAACTCACGACTATATTTTCTCTTACTTGTCATTCCACTATCCATTGGTTTATTTTTTAATACAAAATATATTCAGTGTATATAGCATCACTTACCTTTATCATTTGATAAATATAGAAGGGGACTGAGGTAAAACTAAGTTTCTGATACTTGTAAGGAAACTGATGGTCTCTATCAGAAACATCTAGAATCGCATTTCATTTTGTGGTAGGAAAAGGAAATTAGGGTTTGGAATTAATCCTGAGCTTGGGTCTGCAGTAGGCACTGAATTAAATGTCTACTCTTCGGACCCATTTCTGTGGAGTTCCACAAAGGAAATGTAGTAAGGAGGAGATTAGGGGTCGGTGAGATAGCACAACCTGCATAGAGCCAAGCCGGATTTGACCCCTGGCCCCATATGGCCCCCCAAGTCCACTAGGAGTAATTCCTGCTCATCACTAAGTGAGGCCCCAAAACAGGAACTGCACCTGAGCGGTGAGTGAGCAGTGCCCAGGGGTGACAGGGTTCACGCATGTGCTGAACAGACCTGTAGAATATATATCAAGGGCTGAACAGAAGCTTCAGGTGTAAAGGGGACAGGTGTCTTGAAAAACATCTTGAAAAACAAAACAGTTGCTCACAGGTTTGCGTGGACACATTTCTCTGATTTTACCTAAAAATATTTCTTCCATCAATTTCCAGAAAGGAGATGTGATGCCCATTCCCCCCCAACTCTGGCTGGAGCGATAGCACAGCGGTAGGGCATTTGCCTTGCACGCAGCCAATGTGGCTGACCCAAGTTCGATTCCTCCGCCCCTCTCGGAGAGCACGGCAAGCTACGGAGAGTATCTCGCCCGCACGGCAGAGCCTGGCAAGCTCCCTGTGACGTATTCGATATGCCAAACACAGTAACAACAAAGCCTCCAATGGAGATGTTACTGGGCCTGCTTGAGCAAATCGATGATCAACGGGAGGGCCTTTACCTTACCTTTACCTTACTCTGGCCTCAGTTCAGGGGTTCCCCATTCGGCATCCCTGGGCAGTACAGACTGGGGTGGGTGGCTGGGGACCTGGGCCTCAGCTGACCAAGGACCTCCAGAGCATCTTTCATCAAAGGCAATTCTCTAAGGCGTTAAAGCAGCGGAGAATGAGTTCTGGAGGACTTGGATGAGCTGACCTGCCCCAAGAAGCAAATCTTTTAAATCATTTAAACTTGGCTGTGTGATTGCTTGGAGCCAGGGGTGGGCAGAGTGAAGGATGCTGAATCATAGGTCTAGTCTTGGATCAGACTGTAGTTGCCTTCTAATGAATAATACCTCAGGATTTTGTTTTCTTCCTTTCTTTTGAAATGTCCATTTTAGAGCTTGGGGTTTTTAGTAAGCCCATTTAAGAATCATAGTATCAGTTTATATTTAAAATATTCATCAAATGCACATTAGACTATGTCTCAAGATTACTGGAAAGATAATACAGTGATTTTACTATTTGCCATATAAATATTATGATTCATGCTAACTCAGGATGACTTTTTCTAAGGTGAGTAAGGATCTAGGAATTTAAAAGGAGAAAACAAATCACCCTATTGACAAGTTAATAGTCTGTGTCTTTTTTTGTCTTTTTTCCTTCTTTCTTTCTTTCTTTCTTTCTTTCTTTCTTTTTTGCTTTTTTCTTTTTGGGTTACAACCTGGCACAGGGGTTACTCCTGGCTCATGCACTCAGGAATTACTCCTGGTGATGCTCGGGGGACTATATGGGATGCTGGGAATCGAACCTGGGTCAGCTGCATGCAAGGGCGTTTGCCCTACCTGCTATGCTATCGCTCCAGTCTTTCTTTCTTTCTTTCTTTCTTTCTTTCTTTCTTTCTTTCTTTCTGTCTTTCTGTCTTTCTGTCTTTCTGTCTTTCTATCTTCTTTCTTTTTTTCCCTTTCTTTATATTCTTTTTTTTTCTGTTTTTTTGTTTTTGTTTTTTTTTGGGGGGGGGGGGAGTCACATCTAGTGATGCTCAGGAGTTACTACTGGCGTTCTGCACTCAGAAATTACTCCTGGCAGTACTCAGGGGACCAAATGGGATACTGAGGATCAAACTTGGGTCGGCTGCATGCAAGGCAAACGTCCTACCCACCCTACTGTTGCTTCTACTCCATCTTTTTTTCTTTTAGTGCATCAGAGTTGATGGTAGTCATTCATTTTATTAAAATACTGTTGTGGCTATTTGTTTGCCATTGGAATGTAGACTTTCAGTTAGGCGGTTAGAAAGAAGCCTTCCTTTCTGCCCTTGAGGGTTCTAAGAACTACAGAACATAACGTGTGTCTGGGTCTGGGTGGGGCGGGGCTCAGCAGCTAACATACTGAAAAACTCCCCTCTTGCTTCTACTCCCAAAGCCGTCATTTCTTACTGAACTACCTTTGGTGCATCGTCTGTATGTAATTAAGGCTCTTAACAGAAACAATAGAAATGGAAAGCAGAGTGGTTTTTCCAACCCATTGATTAACCTGAGGCTGTAAGTAGGGCCTGCAATGCTGATTGTTATGAATAACCCACCTTCCTAGAAATGATTCAAGTAATGTTGCCCTCAGGAACAGAACCAAAAACTAGCAGGATGTTCCTGATACCTGTGCTCAAATAATTTGCAGTCTGTTAAATGAGACAATAGGGGCTGGAGTGATAGCACAGATGGTAGGGCATTGACCTGGCACGTGTTCGACCCGGGTTCGATTCCCAGCATCCCATATGGTCCCCCAAGCACTGCCAGGAGTAATTCCTGAGTGCATGAGCCAGGAGTAACCCCTGTGCGATGCCGGGTGTGACCCCAAAAGCTAAATAAATATATAAATAGGTAAAGGTAAAGGCCCTCCCGTTGATCGTCGATTTGCTCGAGCGGGCCCAGTAACGTCTCCATTGGAGACTTTGTTGTTACTGTGTCTGGCATATCGAATACTCTCGGTAGCTTGCCGGGCTCTCCGAGAGGGGCGGAGGAATCGAACTCGGGTCGGCCATGTTGGCCGCTTGTAAGGCGAACGCCCTACCCGCTGTGCTATCACTCCAGCCCTGAAATATATAAATATATAAATAAAAATAAGTAAAATGAGACAATAATTTCAGTCTTGTCCAGGTATCCTAAAATCCTTGCCGTGTATGTTGAAATCTTTATTGCTGTTCTTAGCATGGGCGCGGGTCATTGAAGATGACTTTTTCCTGTGAAAATCTCTGGCCTTTATAGAGAGCTTTATAAAGTTGTTTGATCATGGTCCCTTTGTCTGTGTCCTGAAACTAGGCCAATCCTAAAAAGAAATTTACTGCACTTGACAGTTACCTTGGTAACAGGTATTTAAAGTGAGTTCAGTTAGGAGAGAGAGAGGAGGGGGGAGGGGAGAGAGAGAGAGAGAGAGAGAGAGAGAGAGAGAGAGAGAGAGAGAGAGAGAGAACAGATACTTAAGTGTGTTGCCTTGCATGCAGCCAACCTCAGTTCAATTCCTGGCATTTGGAGGTCTCCAGAACCCTGCCAGGAGTGATCCCTGAGCACCCTAGTTGAGTAAGCCCCGAGCATTTGCAGTTATAGCACTTGGCCCCCAACTAAGTTCAGTACCTATAGTGTTGAATTGTCAACCAGATTTGAAGTACCTTAAACAGGAAAACCTCTGTTTTATGTCTGTATCCATATATAGTAAGTTTCTTAAGTTCAGTTCTATTTATATGTTGAATCATCAATCTGAGCTGCTTGAATTCAATGAGATTAATTAGAACAGACCAGTTTATATTTTACATTTTCTTGATGAGTGTTTTTGGTAAGAATATTCAGGAAAGCGGCTGGAGCGATAATACAGCGAGTAGGGCGTTTGCCTTGCATGTGGCCGACCCTTGTTTGAGTCCCAGCATCCCTGAGCACCACAAGGAGTAATTCCTAAGTGGAAAGTCAGGAGTAACCCCTGTGCATTGCTGGGTGTGACCAAAAAGCAAAAAAAAAAAAAAAAAGAATATTCAGGAAAGTAAGGACTAGATAGGGGATAGACTCCCACCAGTATCTACTGTCTCATGGCTTCTGCCCGTTCACTTCTCTGTTTCTTCCTTTCTTATATCATCACCTCGTAATCTCTCATTCCCTCTTCCAAAGAGAGAAGTTCTGATTGGGTAATAGCTCATGCCCAGGGTAGAGTCCTCTCTCAAGGTGCCGACGATCAGGGCAAAGTCACAAGTATAAAGCATGCCTTGCTCATAGGAGGAATATGTTTGTGGCAGACACTTAGAACATTGGTCCCATGTGAATAAGAGTTTAGTATTCAGTCATGGTTGGAGGTTGATTGTAAGTTCTGTGAGAGCACCTTAGCGGGATAGTTCATATCAAAATCTGACCAAGAGTTTGATATATAGGAGACTGTGGAAAAATACTGGCTGGCTGTCAGCTGATGGAGAAGGCAGTTATTTGATCTTAGATGTGTCAGGGCACAGTGGGAAAGGTTAAAGAGTAAGGCCAATGCGCTTGGACATATTTTACCCACTAAGTAAAGTACTGTGGTCATGGCATACCACATACGGGTTCTAATTAGAGAAAGCTCAAACTCAGAAAGACTCCACTTGATTTCACTTTCGGGTTAAGTTGGGAAGCAATGAGTAATATGGAACCTGTCGATAGTAACATCGTTGAGCTGGTTGATTTATCCTCAGGCTCTACATCCCAGAGCTCTACTTTCTTTCCCACATGGAATTGTTACCATCGTCAAAATCATCACAGCAATATATTAGGAGAGGCTTTGTTCCTGGGAGCATTGACGATCAGGATTTGTTCCTTTTAAAGGCTAATGGCAAGCTAAATTGAGTTGGAAATCTAATAGAAAATTTTTCCAAATTAAAAACAAAAGAACATTTCTGGGACTGGAGTGATAGTACAGCAGGTAGGGCATTTGCTTTGCACAGGTAGAGCAAGGTTCCATCCCTGGCATCCTGTATGGTCCCCTGAGCCCTGCCAACAGTGATCCCTGAATGCAGAGCCAGGAGTAAGCTCTGAGCATCAGCAGGTGTGACCCCCAAACATAAACAAAAAATAAACATAAACAAGAGTGCATTCTTTCATTGCCAACTAGAGGTAACATAAGCAATAACAACCAGGGACATTTTTTTTTAAGAAACCATATCTTTATAGTTAAGCTAAATGTTCTTCATGGCTCCATACTTGGGTATCATGGGTCCAGGTGTCGCCACACTCTGCTGAACACACGTCTAAGTCTTCAGGAAACACTGACTTGGATTATCAATATGATGATAAGAGACCATTTTTTGCAGGTACATCTCATGTCATTTAACATTATTCAATTTCCCTGATACAGTTATAACCCTGAAATTGGGAAAACAAATACATTGGACATTTTTACTCTAGGAGAACAAAAAAAAAAGAAAATGGAGATGATATGGTAGGCTTCTACAGATTCATAATTATAACTGGAAAGCATGAGGCAAACAGTTTCCTCAATGATCGCAGTGTCCGGCTGTTGTGGTAGCTGAGTGTAAGCCAGAGAATCACACAAACCAGGCAGAATGCCGGCTCTGCCAATGAACTGTGTGACTTCAGGCAGCAAGGTCACTTGAACCTTATCTAAACCTTAGGGCCCCATCTGTGAAGAAACCAGGGTCTAAGAACTTGGCACAAAGTAAATGCTCACTAACTTCATCCAGGGTTAAGTTATTGTCAGACGTTGTTGCTCGGAAAAATTTATCTTGACATCATTAGATGGTGTCAGATAATTTGCTCTCAGTGTAATGTCCTTTGCCTTAGTGACACAGATTCAACAATACAACAGTTTTAGCTAATACAGTTTTTACATGCTAACATTTAGGGGAGGGAAAGATACAGTTTATGTCTTTGAATGTACCAGTGAAAGTTTTTAGGTTGTGCTATATTTTTTTTTTAAATCAGGTCTAAAGAAGAGCATTTTGATCTGCAGTGTCTAAAACTTTTGTGCTCAATAATCTGAACTTATTCAGGCATTTTCAGGGAGAAATGACACAGATCACATAGGGGAAAGCCTTGTCATTGTGATGGGATTTCCTGATGTTGAGCTTTATTTCTTGTCTGATTTCTCCTCTGTGCTTGTCCAGGTGAGACGGGCATCGGCAAATCCACCTTAATGGATACTCTATTCAACACCAAATTTGAAAGTGATCCAGCTACTCACAATGAACCAGGTGTCCGGTTAAAAGCCAGAAGTTACGAGCTTCAGGAAAGCAACGTACGGCTGAAGTTGACCATCGTTGACACTGTGGGATTCGGAGATCAGATAAACAAGGATGACAGGTACATCTCGGGGTCGTGTGGGGGGACAGAAATAATTGAGGGAAGTCGTAGAACCTCTCTTAAGTAAACGCAAAGGCAGATGTTCACTAGCTGAGGGGCTGGGTCTTCTGTCACCTAGAGGATAGGACTATCTTGTCTTCCTCTAAAGCTTCTTAGAATTTTCATCCTCCAAGTTCAGATCAGCTACTGTCATTGGTTCCAGCTTATCTAAGCAGAAAGGGGGTTATTTGAAAGAATATCAACTTAGGGCATTTTCTCAGGAGTCATAGAACTAGATTTAATGCCTTTTCCACTAGAAAATGCAACCTAGAGAAACACGCAACCACCCTACAAGACAATAAACAAAAACCCTGACAACCAGCCACTTTATATGACACCGTGAGGCCTCTGGAACCTTCACCCTCCTTGCCGCAGAGAGTCGGATGCCTTCCTCGTGGCTTGCAAGAAGAGCCGTTGGCCCAGCGTGTGACCTCTGCCTGGTGTTAGTCACTCCTTGCTTCTAGACTGTGCCTCTGCTTGACAGGAAGTAAAATATTAGTTGCCAGGGAGTCTGGTAAATGTGTTTTACAACTCTGCAAAATAGCAGTGGATTCAAAAGCAGAAGGAAGTTTGGGATGAGCTTCTGCCTTTATGTCCTAAACCTGGAGGCTGATTGGGAAAGTCCACATACTTCCAGAATTCTACAGATTTGAATGCAAATTGAGAGTCAGTGTGGTTTTGCAAGAGAAGTCTCAGCCCAGGATTTAGGACAACTGGCTTGCAGACAGGGTTCTTCCAGTAGTGGTTACGAGACTCTGGCGATTTACCTCGCTGGAAAGGACTTACACTAAATGTTCTCTGAAGAATCTTCCACAGCAATAGTGCACACACTCCCAAGTCTTAGGTAGACGCTTCACAGAAAGAGAGAGAGAGAGAGAAAGAGAGAGAGAGTGCTGTGAATGGCAGGCCTAGCAGGGGTGTTAACCTGGGTTTTGATGGCTTTGACAAAACCCCTAACATGAAAATCATCTTTTTTCCTGATGTGAGTTCCGTTGAACAAAATCTTCATTTCTGACTGGTACGGGATCCCTCCCCTCCCCACTTCACTGCTTGCTGGGCTGCCTCCGAGGCTGCACGGGGCGGTGGTGGTACCGCCTGAGGGTCCGTCTTGGGATGTGGCTTGCACACATCACGCTGCTGGTTGTGGGTTCTGCACCCACCCGGCTGTGCCGCCCGGGAGCTCACCCTTTCTGTCATGGCACCGGCCGCCCCTGTTTCCTGCCAGGCTCATGTGGCAGATCTGGGATTGCACTTGACGGGCGTTTGGCCCCATGTCCTCCCTGGTCCCCGGGCACTGTGGTCTTACTCTGACGTTTCTGGGTTTTCCTGTGGCCACTCAGGCGTGGTGCAGAGTTGGGGCTGAGTCTGAGTGTGGTTGCAGACTGGTCATATGAGGCGTTCGGGTCAGCCGGGCGAAGGCTTCCCTCCCCGACAGACACGTCCACACAAAAAGTTCTACCCACTGCGGTGGGGATCCGCGTCCTTCCTTTTAGGGGCCCACCCATAGAAGCAGCGACAGTGCCCATCCGTACACGATTGGATGAAGATGTGGTACATTTCCACAAGAGATTGTTCAGCGATAAAAAGGGATGAAATTTTGCTGTTAGCAACAAAATGAAAGGAGCTCAAGAATTGTGCAAAAGAAGTCAAAAGGAAAAAGACAGGAATCGGATTGTTCACCTGTGTGTGACACAAGGAGAGAAGATTGATAGAGAGGGACTGCCACAGCAGTACAGTGGGCAGGGCACCTGCCTGGCACAGGGCCGACCTGAGTTCGATCCCTGGCATCCCAGATGGTCTCCCAAGCACTGTCAGGAGTAATTCCTGGGTGCAGGGCTAGGATTAAGCCCTGAGCCCTGCTGAATGTGTTCCCTGCCCATCCCCTCCCCCCCCCCCCGAAAAACCAAGAAAGAAAATCAACAAACAGACAAAATAAAGTGATAAACTGGTACATGGCGCTGGAGAGATCATATTGCAGGTAAGGAGCTTGCCTTGCACACAGCTGGCTGACCCGGGTTCAATCCCTGGAATCCTAAATAGTCCCCCTGAGCACTGCCAGGGGTAATTCCTGAGTGCAAAGCCAGAAGTGACCCCTGTACATCACCGGGTGTGACCCCCAAAAGCCAATAAATAAATAAATAAATAAATAAATAAAATGAAATAGAAAAGATAAACGGGTGCACAGTGATAACAGAAACGAAATTCTATTCGAATTAGAGCCCTTGAGAGAAAGGTGTGGTGGGCAGGAGATAAGGTTGGTAGGGAATGAATTTTATGCCATGAAATGATTTGAACAACTTTTAAAAAGTTTTTAAAAGTGTGTGGCACGATTCTAGGGAAAAGAAAGTGTTTGTGAATATTTCAGAATCTCCTGAATGCGGGGCTGTAATGATAGTACAGCAGGTAGAGTTCCTGCACCCCTGTATGGTCTCCTGAGCACCACCAGGAGTAATTCCTGAGTGCAGATTTGGAGTAACCCCTGAGCAGACCCAAAAAGCCAAAAAATGAGAGCGAGATGGGGCGGTGGGGGGAGGGAGGGAGAGAATAGATTCTAATTGACTGGGCCAAGGTAAAAAAAAAAAAGATATATAAAAGAAGGAACATTTAATCTGTTTTAAGAAATGCCTTCAGCAGACTGGCTTTAGAGTCCATCAGCTAGAGCATTTGCCTTGCAGGGGCTCACCCGGGTTTGATCCCTGGCAATGTGTTTAGTTCCCTGAGCCCTGGCAGGAGTGATCCCTGAGCACAGCCAAGTATGACCCAGAAAACAGAACAACAACAAATTTTTTTAAAGAATTTTTGTCCTGGGCCCTGGGGAGTCAGGAGTCAGGGCCTGCATCCGTCCCAGCCCCGGGCTCAGCCCCCTGGCGACCCGCAGCACTGGGCCTGAACAGCCACACTGGGCCCAGCCTGGAACCTTCTGACCCAGTTGGCGTATTACCGAGATTGGCCCCTAGGCCCCCTGAGGTCCCCCCAGATAGAAAAAAAATGAGGAGGGGAGCATTTAGTGGCTTATGTGTAGATAAGAGGTACCAGCCGGAGCCAGTGTTAGGGTATTTATATATTCAGACTGGCTGCCTCAGGCAGAGAGAGCCTACAGGGTTGAGCATGTGCTTTGCAAGCTGGAGGCTCAGGGGTTCCCCCCACCAGCTTTGCTGCCGCTACCCACCCCCCACCCCCCACCCCCGAACAGCTGTGTGTGGCCCCCTCCAGGGAGAAACAGAAAAACCTGACTTACATAAACCAATCACGAAAGTGAGGCTTTCCCTTTATGAAACATGCAGACTCAGTTTGTAAAGCTGAGCTGTTGAGACTCTTCTCAGAGCTGCTCTGAGTCTGCCGAGGGGACCCTGTTGATCTTTGCCCCCACCTCGTAGACAACCCGGATGTTAATCTTTCGCCCCAGAATATTGTTCACACAAACACAAAAGAGACGGTTCCCGCTCCTTTCTCGAGATTATCCTCTTCGTCTAGCTTGAGCAAAGGCCTGATAGCAACCTAAAAATACTACCTTCATTTCCAAGGGATGTTTGAGGGAGTGAGAACTGCCCAGGTCACTGGGAGTGACCCCAGGAAGGGGCTTCGAGACACATAATGTGGGTATCCTCTGCCTAGGTTTAGGGAAGCTGAACTTGAAATAGTTTTGTCTAGAAATGTGTACTGCCTCAGCACATTTTAGCTATCCATATATACATATATATATATATATTTATAGATATATAAAAGCGCATAGTCATAACAAGTAATTAATTCATTCTCGAGTTGATCACTGAACTCTAGTTTATGTATAGAGCAGTTTATATGCGTTTTCAATAAACACTGTCTGGTCATAACAGGAGCATTTGTTAGATAGAGGATAGCATTTGTTAGGGAGGTTTTTCCCTTGCATCTGGGTCAAATAGACTATCTGTACGGTGGAGGGGCAGCTTAGCCCGAACTCCGCAGCTGAGCGTTTATGCCCTCATTTATGCCCACCATGCCAGTGAGCAATGGAGAGAGAGCTTCCTGCCCGAGGGCTGTTTGTAAGGCCAAGTGGAACAGATGCAGAGAGAACCTTATTGACAAGAGAACGAGCACAGGTGCGTTGGCGCCGGGGAACCACCATCCCCTGTGAGGCCCCAGTGCACACTCAGAACAAGGCTACTGCCATTCCTCCTCCCCACACAGATCCCCCCCGGGTAGAAGCAGAGCCATCGCAGGGTCCCATCCTGCAGGAAGGAGGCCCTCTCGCCAGCATCTTGCTCCCAGGATTCCACGTGTTGTTCCCGCGCAGACTGGTGGCCGAGGGCTGCCACTACAGCTTAGCGTCTCTGCTAGCGGGGGACTTTCCCGGGGCAGGAGGGTTTCCACTGAAGGGTGTAGCAAGTAGCTAGTGCCCTGGGGAAGCCGTGACCTGCAGCTGGAGGCCTCTTTAAGAAACCGGCTGACTCATTTGGGTCAGATAATAGTTTCCAAGGAGATTTAAAGAGAGGAAGTATGATACTAACCTAGATACCAAATATTTTTTTTCTTCTTTTTCTGAAATATCTTGACAGCCCTTGCTTAACCTCTTTCCATGGCATTGGGAACTCTGTACCCTCGAAGGCACTGTTGGCATGGCTGGCTGGAAAGCCTACAGCTATTGTTTAAAAATAGTTTTTCACACAGACTGCTTCCATCAAAACACTGGAAGAGGGATACACATTTTTTTGCACTGATCCATGACCCTATAGGAAGGGACGTGCTGATTCTCTAAACCCACGATCGCTTCTGCCACTTTGGGGGGTTGGGTAAGCTTTCCTGCCACCCATGCAAGACTTTCAGAATGTCCCTGTTTGTTTATTCAGCATTCCTGCATTATTATCTGCCTGGGACCAGGCTAGCTAGAAGGAGACAGGAAGAGAGATCTGGGAAGGTTTCCTGTTCTGTTTAATAGCAGGATTAACTCCCCAGGGTTTGAGAACTTTCTTGTCCTGACATCT